CCCCCCCCCCAAATTTTTTTCAATTTTTTTTTTACAAATTTTTTTTTTTTTGGGCAATTTTGGAAATTTTAAAAAAACGCGCGCCCCCCCTTAGAAATTTTGGGGGAAAATAATAAAAATATTTTTTTCCCCCGGCCCAAAAAGGGCATAGGTTGTTGTCCCCAGAGGAATTTTTTTGGTGAAAAAAAATTAAAGCGGCCACCCCCCAATTAACCCGGTTTTTGGTTCCGGGGTTTTTTTTTTTTACAAAATTTTTTTTTGCCCCCCCCCCCCCCCCTCTCTCTCTCTCTCACACACACACACACACACACACTCTCTCTCTCTCTGATCTCTTGAGAGTGAGAGAGATGTAGATGCATGCACATGGGATTGTGTGTATATGTATGATTCCCCAAAGACGCAGTCCCGTGATCACCTCAAATTTAAAGTTGAAAAAGTGCATTCCTATATTTCCTCCTAACAATATCTCTCTCTACTTAATTTTCTCCACTTTTTTCTTTTTTTTTTTTTTCCTCCACTTCGTGTGAGCTTTTAATATAATTCTTTATTTTAATTTTAGGTGCCCTTTTATTTATATATATATATATATATATATATATATATATATATATATATATATATATATATTGCTAGTGAATGGTAGTCAATGGATATTTGTTTTCTTTATTCGTTTATACTTGATTTATGGCCATTAATGAATATTAACTTACTCCCTCTATATACAATACATGTCACTCACAAATAACTTTTTTTTATTTCATATTATCTGTCACTTTAAATTTTTAATACTGCATTAATTTCTTAATTTTTCAGTTTATATCATTATTAACTCTTTCCAACTCTTTTTTTTTTTTAACTCATTTTTCTCTCTTATTAGTTTATAAGACAATATCATTTTAAGTGTAAAAGTATACATTTTACTAAAATCAAGTCACATTTAATAAAATGGGTGCAAATTTAGACCGGATGGCCTGTTTTAATAGGAAAATCGGATGCCATAGAATGATTGACACGTGGATAGTTTAAATAAAAATATAATTAGAATTCTAATAATTGGAAAAAAGAAAAAGAAAAAAGAAAACCCCAACATAACCCGTAACCTCTCTAACCATAATTATAATAGCGTGATTTATTAAGAGTTATGACTTGAGTGTCACATGTCAGAAAATTAGTGGAATCCAATTTATATTAAATACTTGAGTGTCACATGTCAGAAAATTAATGGAATCCAATTTATATTAAATATCGGCTGATCCGCTCAAAATTTAATCTCTAATAAAATATTTAATCCTTGTAGAAAGCTAAAAATGACAATTTAAAGGAAACAGGGGGATTATAAAATTTTGCATTACATCCTACCTCTTACTCCCATTCGTTCCTAAACAATACTCTGTTTTTTTTTTCCAGCTTTGCACAAATATTTAGGATTTCAGTAAATATTTCTTAATATTAGGAAAAATATATTAACAAGACTAAAATAACCTTGATTATTTAAAGATGTAATAGAGAGAATTAATATTAAAACTGAATAAATATGGGTAAAACAGGGAAGAAGATGTATTTAATAAAGTTTTGAAATTCTGAACTGACGGAGCAAAAAAATTTCTCTA